TTAACTTAGACAGAACCTGTTGATACAAGTGTACTTGGATGAAAGGGTGACACAATCAAAGTAGCTTCCAAGCATTGCGCGCGCAACATCCAAGCAAACTTTAACCAAGTTTACTTGGATCGTGTCAACCCGCGTTTATTAGACGCAGCTTGCCTAGGAGACCAGTCAATTCTAAAGCCAATCGGAAGCTTTCGAATTTCTTCGGCTCTATACTTTACTATGATAGGTACCTAGGTAACTGTAGAGAACGAACACTGGATGACCTACAGAACGGTGCAACTTCTCGAAGAGCGTAGGAAAATCAAATCTCTCATATATCAAAACGACAGCAACAAAAACGAATTAGCAAGGTTAAATAGAGAAATTAAAAGAGCATGTAGGGATGATAAAAATAAACATATAAATAAAGAATGCGAAGAACTAAAGAAACATGCAGACCGGTATGCATCCCATGAGCTATATAACAAAGTCCGATATCTAATTAGGGAATTTAAACCAATCAGACAAACAATAATGCATCAAAACCAACATATTTTAAATGACGAGAAAAGGATTGCCGAGGTATGGAGAAAATATTGTCAAAGTCTATATGCAAATGATCCCCAGAATGTAAATCATGACGAGTTCATTGCAGAGAGAGGACCAAACATTTTAAAGTTAAAGGTAGAAAAAGCAATCAAAAAGTTAAAAAATAGAAAATCTCCTGGCGCAGACCAGATCACCGCAGAAATTTTAAAAGAGACTGGAAATGTTGGAGTAAATGTTATGCATATCATCTGCAAAAAGATTTGGAAACCGGAGAGTGGCCCAACGACTTGACAACATTTACTTTCATCCTTATATTCAAAAAAGGAACTCTGCTAGATTGCAGCGACTACAGAACGGTAACGCTAATATCCCGTGCAAGAAAGGTTCTACTTTATGTAATACATGAAAGACTAAAAGCTTTTCTATTGCCTCAGATATCAGAAGAAGAAGCGGGATTTGTCCCAGGAAAAGGCACAAGAGAACACATCCTTAATTTCAGACAGCTAATCGAAAAAACTCGTGAATTCAATACTCATATGTTTATGTGCTTTGCGGATTACACAAAAGCTTTCCAGCAGCAGCTATGGTCCATTCTAGCGGAAAGGGGAACATTCCACCACTTAATTCAACTAATTAGAAGTGTATATAAAAATAATAAGTGCACAGTAAAAATAAACAACACCCATTTCGATCATTTCAGAATAAAGGCAGGTGTCAGGCAGGGTTGCATAATCTCGCCAACTCTATTTAATATTTACAGTGAACACATTATCTGTGGATGGAAGACATAATGAGATGTCTGGAGGAGAAAAGCAAAACATATGGACTAAAGCTAAATAGGAGTAAGACAAAGATCATGATAGTAGACAGAGCTCTAGAAGAATCTTCAAAACATTAAAATAATTATGGGCTTTGAATAGTTTCATATACCTGGGGTCCCTAATAACAAATCACGGAGATTAGGACTGAGGAGGAGGATTTAGGTACATTCAGTGTTAAACCATTAATGAGATAAGTAAGATTTTTATTAGGGGGCAAGAATGAGAAAAAAACGAGATCTATAAAAAATACATTAAATTTTTGCACCCAAATTAAGAAATATATTAAAAAAACTTTTCAAAAAAAAACTTTCCAAATTCTAACAAAAAAAAAGACAAACCTTTTTTTACTATAAAAAGTAAATAATTTTCTTTTTTTTTACTTGAAAAAGATCAAACAACACTTTCGGCACTATCTGCCATTTTGTAAGTCGCTTATGTCATCATCTTTGGCTCGACAATCCTCTGTGGATTTTGGCCTGCTCTAAGATTCGTCGCCATTCTGTTCGGTTTTTGGCAACATGTTGCCATCTTCTGATTTTTAATATTCGTAAGTCGGTTTCTACTCCATCTAACCACCTAATTCGCGGTCGGCCTTTGCTTCTTTTTCCTACAGGTGTTCCTGTGGTTAGCTTTTTAGCAATGGTATTTTCTAGCATTCGTATTATGTGTCCAGTCCATCTAAGTCGCTGTGATTTAATGAACGTTATGACATCTGGCTCATCAAAGAGCTGATACAATTCAAAATTATATCTTCTGCGCCACTGCCCTTAGTCGTTTACAGCTCCAAATATTTTGCGGAGTATTTAACGTTCAAATATTCCCAAGAGTCTTTCATCTTTCTGCGTTAGAGTCCATGTTTCTGCTCCATATGTGAGGACCGGCCTCAGCAATGTTTTGTATATAATAATTTTAGTTCTTCTTTTGAATGTTTCTTGAGTGGAAGTGCTTTTGGAGTCCATAGTATGCCCTATTTGCAAGATTTATTCGTCTTTTGATTTCTTCGCTTGTTTTATTGGTAGCAGTCAATAGCGACCCAAGGTATGTGAAGTTGTCAACACGTCCAAAGGTATGACTTCCAAAGACTGTTTCTCGTTCCTCATTTGCTATCGGATCCTTTGTAACCAACATGTACTTGGTTTTGTCTTCGTTGATGACTAGACCGACCTGTTTCGCCGCTGTTTCCAATTCTAGGAGATATTGCTCAACATCTCGCTTGCTACGCCCTACTATGTCAATGTCATCAGCATATGATAAGACTTGTATCGATCTATTGTAAATAGTACCGCCATCCCTAGTTCGTGTATCTCGGACTGCCTTTTCTAAGGCAATGTTAAATAGGAGGCAAGCCAGAGCATCTCCTTGTCTGAGTCCATCCTTTATCTCAAAGGATCTAGAACTCTCTCCCTGTATTCTAACAGTGGCTTCTAAGTTAGACATTGTCATTCTCGTTAGTCGGATAAGTTTCTCTGGTATACCAAACTCATGCATTGATTGGTATAGCACTGTTCTCTTGACACTGTCGTATGCGGCCTTGAAGTCGACGAATAGTTGATGGGTTTCAATATTGAATTCTAACGTTTTCTCAAGAATCTGTCTTATTGAATGAATCTGGTCAATTGTTGATTTTTCTGGAGTGAATCCAGCTTGATATTTACCAACTATGCCCACTGTGTAAACTTGCAACCTTTCGTAGAGAATATTTGCTAGTCTTTTGTAAGCAGTTGTTAACAGGGTTATACCTCTATAGTTGTCACACTGGAGCTGGTCACCTTTTTTATGTAACGGGCATATCACGCCTTGAGACCATTCACAACGCATGGTCTCATTATGCCAAACAAGAAGTAAAAGCTTATGTAGTGTCTGTAGTAGGGCATCGCCACCATTCTTGTAGAGATCACTGCAAATTTTATAACCTCCTGGTGATTTATTATTTTTAAGCTTTTTAATGGCTTGGGCAACGTTTTCGATGGTAGGTGGTCTCTCGTTTGGGTTGAAAGGATTCCAATCATTTCGATTTACTAGAGTGTTATCTGCTTCTTCGATATGATGGCCATTAAATTTTGCATCGAAAAATTCAACCTATCTGTTTAGGATTGAGGCCGTATCATTTAGGATGTTTTCTTTTACATCCTTACAGCTCCTTATTCTTGGCTTAAACTCTGTGCGTATTTTGTTTAGATTTCTGTAGAACTATCGAGTTTTATTTTGATTTCTTAGCCATTCTGTGCTTTCCAACTGCTTTTGCTCAAATTGTCTTTTTTTTTCTTCTATGCAATCGTTTTTCTTCTCTTCTTAGTGTCCGGTATTCTTCCTTTTCCATCCGTCCTGTTTTCCCCAATATTTTTGTTGCTTTCTCAGTTATTATGTTTTTACATTTTGTCCACAGTTCCTCTACATTTTCCCCCACCTCCAGGCTCTCCATTTCCTCGTCCATTTGTCTCCTATACTCTCTCGCAACGGTTTCAATGCGCAAATTATCAACATTAATTCTGTTTTGTTTCGTGTGTTTATCTTTCTTGAGGTTTGATATTCTTCCTCTGATTTTTGCCATTACAAGAAAGTGGTCACTGTCAATGTTTGGGCCTCGGTAGCTTCTGACGTCTATGAGATCGGAAGAGTGCCTTGCATCTATCAGGATGTGATATATCTGGTTAATGGTTTCGTTATTAGGGGATTTCCATGTTCCTTTGTGTATCATTTTATGGGGAAATCTTGTTCCTCCTACTATCATGTTTTTATTACTTGCAAAGTTTATTAGTCTCAACCCGTTATCACTTGACTCTTCATGTAAGTTCTCACGTCCTATAGTTGGCTGGAAAAATTGCTCTGTGCCAATTTTTGCATTAGGGTCCCCAGCAATGATTTTCACGTCATGACGTGGACATCGATCATATTCTTTGTCTAAGGTGTCATAGAATTCATATTTTTCATTATCCTCCTTTTTTTCCGTAGGTGCGTGTACACTAAGTAAGCTATAATTAAAGAATTTTCCTTTAAGACGTAGATAACATATTCTGTTGTTTATGGGTTTAAAGTTAAGGACTAATTGCTTTGCTTTTTTACTGACTTAGTCGCTTATGTACTGGTTTTAATAATAAAATTTATCACAATTTAACTTGGCTTCTAAAAGTAACCGTACAAAATCAGACGGATAAACCAAACAAAACAACGACAACGACAATCGTTTCTTTACAAAATTATGTATAAAACTACTTATTCCTCCAAAGTGAGTAAAAATCGTGTAAATAAACATATAATTCGTAAAATCTTGAGAGATTAACCGAATTCGTGTAATTTTTAACCGTGAATTTTGGCAATTGCATTGAAATTTAAACAAAATGCATTAAGAGGACTATTCATATCGCCGGTGTAGTAGACCGTGTGCAACTACTGATACACAAAATTAATCTGCGTATACTGAAAAGTTAATTAAATTGAAATTCTATATTGAAGAGTATAAACATCATTTCCAGATGAAGTTGTATTCACGAGATTACAAAAATAATTAAAAAAAGGAAAGAAATACAAGCAAATTCAGATGTATTGTTAGTGATTAAAATTGCTATTAAAATATAAAACAAAAAAAGCATATAAAAACAAAATACAAAAAAAGCATATAAGAAGTGTTAAACAACTTCTCTTCAGACTTACCCAATTCTTTGTCTTCCCACGTCTGCTTTGCTTCTAACAAAGCATTGTATACTTCTCTGCTGGGCTCAATTCCTGAAAATACGTAATACCTCGCTCTAACCCTTCTGAAAAAGTCCACATAAGCATAATAAGCGTTTCCATGATGAGGTACGTAAGTAAGATCCACATAAACTGGATTAATCTTCTTGTTTTTATTATATTTGGAAGGCGATTCTGCCCTCTTTTTGTCGTCGTTAAGTTTATTTTTCGCTGTGACGTTTGCAGGTAGTTTTCTTTCCTTTTTCGGGGTGCCCTTGTTGTCGTTTGGAGCTGCCGGACTCGGTAAACCTAACGGTTTTCCTGAAATGATAACAGATGCTATTTACTTTGACTTAAGTCAATTACGATTAAGTAAATATATTAAAGAAATATTTTAAAGAATAAATAATATTTGAAGTAAAAACATTTTTCTATTACTCTTCAAAACAAAACAGTTGAATTAATTAAATTTATAATATTACAATAATTAATATTTACCCCAAGATTGGATAGGATCCATATCGTCATCAGGCAACTGCCCATAGAAGCTAGTGGTCATCATATCCATCCTCTCGGAAGGTCTTGTACTTGTAGGCAACTGCCTTTGTTGAATACCCGTCATTTGCCTCTGGCTGGTGACAGAGAATTTGGCGTTGGTGATTTCGTATAGATACGTTGGAGCAGGTAACTCCAAAGGCTTTCCCCACGATTCTATCGGGTCTTTTTTGTCTGACGTTGAAGGTCCTTGTGTCTTTTCGTCACTCTTTGTACTATCAGTCTTATCGGCGGATGAAGCAGGTAACTTCTCCTTGGAGATATCGTGCAGTTCTTCTACGGGTTCTTCGTCAGGAAGAGCTCCATAGAACGACATACTCATGGGATCTTGATTTCGAAGAACGTCGAAATCGGCTTGTGATGAGTCTCTGGAATGCGCAACTTGTGATGTGATACTGTATTGTTCGTCTTCATCGTCGCTGTCTCTATCGAAACCATGTCTTGAAAGTTGTTCGGAGGAAACATCTGTCAAAGATGACAAATGTTCTAGATCTGAATGGGCTTCCTTACTTAACGTACCAGAAAATTTTACGTCGTCTGTAATATTCGGGCTTACCGGTGCCGTTGGTGGAGTTCTACGACCTGGAAATTGCTTTTCGTGCAACAGGTTATCTTGTAATTGTTGTTTCTCTAATTCTTCACTTTCTTTTTTCAAAGAAGTACTAGCAACGCTTAACGGAACAGTCTTCATAGAATCTTGTTTATTATCACATATTTCAACAGTCTTATGTTCAGTTTTGTCTATCTTTGTCGTCTCGACTTTATCAGAAGTATCATTATGAACATGTGGCAGTGAACGTACTTCTTTATCTTTTTCCATCGTTTCTTTTTCTCCCTTTTCAGTAACTTTGGATTCTGTTTCTAGAGAAGATTTCTCTTTAATGTCCTCATTTTCGTGTTTTTCTGTTAAAGTTACAGCAACGTCACTTTTTTGCAAGTCATCTTCATCCTTCTTTGGACGACTATCACATTTTTCAAATGATAAACTTCTCGCCATTTTCTCAACTGTTTCAAAAGTTTCCTCAACGTCATCGGTAAATTTGTCTAGAAACTTTTCTTTTTCTTTAACGGATTCCTCTTCTTCTGACAATTCGTCCTCAAAAGGTTTATCACACTTGTCGAATATTACAGATTGGGTCATGTCAATAACAGTCCTAAATGTTTCTTCTAAGTCACCGGCAGCTTCTTCAAGAACTTGTTCCTTTTTTAGTACTTTTTCGTCCATAGTTTCTTTTTCCGAAGGGGATTTTTCTTCTTTATCCTTACTTGTCGAAGTTTCCTTTTTATCAGATTTTTCTTCACTAGAGAACAAGCTTTTACCAAAACTTGATATTGATTCTAAAGTTTCTGATATTCCTTTGTCTATTGAGTCTATAATCCCATGGCTATCGTCTTCAACATCTTTTATTTCCTGTTCTAGATTTGTATCTCCTTTGCTAAACGTCTCTGATGTTGCACTTGCTAAAGTTTCTATGCCTGATTTCACACTTTTATCAACTTTTATAATCTGGTCATGAAGATCATCATATTTTTCCTGGCACTCCTTCTTTATCTCTTCTTTTTTATCAACAATATCTGCTTTAACATCTTGTATACCGTCACAAACTTCTTTTTTTATCTTTAATACATCATCAACTTTTTCTTGAACAGCGTATTGGACAGATTCTTTTGTTTCTTTGCAACTCTCTGTGACACTCTCCTTTGCTAGAGTTAGATCACCTTCTTTTTCTTTAAGAAAATCTTCAACCTTACCTTCAACATCTTTCACCAAATTGTCTTTTGCTGTTACAAGATCACAGACTTTATCTTGAACCATCTGGTTTGTGTTGTCCTTTGTTTCTACAATTTCATCCTTTGTTTCTTCAATACCAGAAATAAGAGAATCTTTTATATCCGTTATAGCATCTGTTGTTTTTTGTTTTAAGATTTCTGTTTCTGTATGGAGTTCTTTCGTTGCACCTTCTATATGTGATTCTAAATTACCTTTTAAATCTTTGATATCATCGATGGTTTCTTGAGCTAATTTCGTTAAACTTTCAGTTTTTTCGCAAATATCACCTGTTACATCAGTTAAAATTTCTGCCTTTTTCTCTAATGCTTCCTTTTCTATACATCTTTTAGTCTCAGATAGATCGATTCCAGTTTCCGAAATAGCTAAATCTACTTTATCGAAAGCTTTTTCTAATATTTCTTCTTTTTCTGTGACCGCAGATTCAACAGTCTCTTGTACTTTTTCTTCTTGAATAAGTTCTTTAGATTTTTGTGCAGCATCTGATAATTCGTCTTTTATTTGTGTTACCGAATCTTCAGTTGTACTTGCAATATCGTGTATATTTGATTTAATGTCTGCTTGTGTATGTTTTAACTCATCGGTCACTTCGGCTGTTTTTTCTTCTACCTGGTCAGTAAGATGTATTTGTGTATCTTGAATACTGGATTTTATTTCTTCTATGCCATCGAATAGTTTGTCCTTTGTCACACTTATATCTTTAAGTGTATCCTTTATATCAATTTTTACATCTTTAATAGTGTCATGCACATCGTCTTGTTTCTTTTTAATTTCTTCCAAGGCTTCCTCTGCTTTAGCAGTTAAATCTTCAATTTTTTCAGATGTAGCAATATTAAAATCTTTTTTACTCTCCTCCAAAGTAGATTTAACTTCGTTTTTCTTATCATTTAGATCATCTACCACTGCATCTTTCTTTTCAGATAAGTCTTTTAAAGAATCAACTATACCTTCCTTTACATTTTCTGTGACTTCTTGCACCGCTGACTTAATTTCTTCTTGCTTATCTTTTATATCATCTACAAATGTATCCTTTTTTTCAACCAAGTCTTTTAAAGAATCAGTTACACCTATCTTTACTGCTTCTTTTACATCTTGCACAGAAGACTTGATTTCTTCATGCTTACCTTGTAAATTATCTATAATTGCATCTTTCTTTTCACCAAAGTCCTTTAAAGAATCAGTTATACCTATCTTTACTTCTTCTTTTAATTTTGTGATAGAAGACTGGAATTCTTCATGCTTATCTTTTACATCATCTACAATTGCATCCTTCTTTTCAGCCAAGTCTTTTAAAGAATCAGTTATACCTACCTTTGCTGCTTCTTTTATATCTTGCACAGAAGACTTAATTTCTTCATGCCTATCTTGTAAATCATCTACAATTGCATCTTTCTTCTCAGTCAAATCTTTTAAAGAATCAGTTATACCTATCTTTGCTGCTTCTTTTACATCTTGCAAAGAAGACTTGACTTCTTCATGCTTATCTTGTAGATCATCTATAATTGCATCCTTCTTTTCATCTAAGTCTTTTAAAGAATCAGCCAAACCCATCTTTACATCTTCTTTTACTTCGTTCACAAATGACTTAATTTCTTCTTGTTTATCTTTTAAGTCTTCTAATAAAATGTCTTTCTTCTCTTCTACTCGGTTTAAGACATCAGCCGTTTCAGCTTTTATAGATTCCGTTTTATCTTCAATGGTACATTTAACCTTTTCATCTTTTTCTTTTACATCTTTAACTAGTAGGTCTGTTTTCTCAGTTAAATCTGTAATTGCATCCTCTAAACTCGTTGATATTTCTTTCTTTGTGTCTACAATATTATCAATCGTTTTATCTATGTCTTCTTTCATAACTTTAAAACCATCACTAATTCCATTCTGCAATTCTGCTTCAATGTCTTTTACTGCATCTACTATATCATCTTTTTTCTTTTCTGTTGCATCATGAACACCTGACTCAATTTTTTCCTTTGTACCATGTAGATCCTCAACAATTTCAAGCTTTTTATCCGTTAGATCTTCTACCGTTCCATGAAGAGCGTCTGTTGTATCTTCAAGTTCTTTTTTAAAGACTTCTAAAACTGTATCGGCTTTTTCTGTTAATTCGTCATATTTTTTAACAGTGGCATCTTGAATTTCTTCATCTTTTAATTTCACCGCGTGTTCTAAGTCGTCTTTTGTATCCTTTAATCCCTTTTTAACGTCTTCTAAAACTTCACCAGCTTTCTCTGTTAACTCATCATGTTTTTTTGTGTAGCTTCCTTAATTTCTTCTTTTTTGGAATCAAAAGCATCTTCTAGCGCATCTTTTGTATCGTCTATCTCCTTTTTAACGTCTTCTAAAACTTTATCGGCTTTCTCCGTTAATTCATCCTGTTTTTTTACTATGGTTTCCAGAATTTCTTCTTTTTTGGATGTAGCTGCATCTTCTAATGCTTCTTTTGTCTCCTCCAATCCCTTCTTAACGTCTTCTAAAACTTCATCAGCTTTCTCTGTTAATACATCATGTTTTTTTACAGCATCATCCTTAATTTCTTCCTTCTTGGATTCAACTGCGTCTTTCAATGCATGTGTCGTATCTATTAATCCAGTCTTAATGTCTTCTAAAACTTTATCGGCTTTCTCTGTTAACTCATCATGTTTTTTTACTGTGATATCTTTAATTTCGTCTTGTTTGGATTCAACTGTACTTGCTATATCTTTTACTGTCTCTAATGTCTCCAGTTTTTTTTGAGTAAGAACTTCATCAGCTTCTTCAATGCCTTCATCTAAGTCTGTTACAATGTCTTGTTTTATGTCTTTCAAACTTTGTACAATCTCAACCTTTTTAGCATCTACTTCTTCTTTTACTTCTTTTGTTTTCTGCAGCATGGCATCTTCAATACCTTCTAGAACACTATCCTTCGTTTCAGATATTTTGTCTACTATATCTTTAACAGGTTCATTTATATTTGTTTCAATTGTGTGTTTTATGTCCTTGACATCTGGTAATGATTCTAAAACATTTATTTTTGTTTGAGTTAAAAATTCTTCACTATCTTTAATAGTATCATCAACGCCTGCTGCTATATCTTGCTTTTTTTCTTTTATGTGCTCTACAAGCTCATCTTTCTTCTCGTCTATAGTTGCTACTGCTGATTTTAGATCTTCAATTTTTTCAACAACGGTACCTTTAATATTTTCTATAACATCATCCTTTTGTTTGGATATTTCGCTTGCCGTTTCTTTAACAGAGTCATGTATGTCTGATTCTATTTGTTGTTTGGTATCTTTAACTTCTTGGATCACTTCATCTTTCTTGGTGCTTAAACTATCCAAAGTTTCGGTAATATCTGATTTAATCTCATCATGTTTTTCCTTGAATGTATCTTTAATACTACCAAAGAGACCAGACGTCTTCTCAGCTATACCACTGAACGTATCTTTCACGGCATCCTTTATATCTTTTGGTTTGTCTTTAATATCATCACTTAGTTTTTCTTTTTGGTCATTTAAGTTATCGATAACTGCACCAACATGTTCCTTTTTCTCTTCCACAGTATCTTTCATGTCCTTGCCAACTTCAACAATTTCGTTCTTTGCCTGGTTTAAATCGTCTATTACCTTATCCTTTTCTGTAATAGTCGGATCTAAGTCAAGTTTTGTTTCTTTAGTTGTCTGCTCCACTTCTCTTACAGAGTCAAATAAATCATCTTTTTGCTTGCTTATATCGTCTTCAATGTGGTCGACAATTCCATGTGCCACAATTTCGACCTCTCGTTGCGTGTCTGCTATGTCTTTGGAAACTTCATCCTTAGCCTTTTCTGGTTCGTAAGACGTGTCTGATGTGCTCACTTTTGAAATATCTTTTACATCCTTTATTTGTTCTTTAATTTTGTCTTTTTCTTCAGTTAAATCATCTTTAATCGACTCCTGAACTGTTTTCTCAACGTCTGTCATTTTGGTCTTCTCGTCTAAAATGAAGTCTTCTTTAATATCTTTTGAAGTCTCTAACAAATCTTCTTTCATTTTAGATATGAAGTCATCTGAATCCTTAAGAGATTCCTGAACGGTATCTTGTGGTTTGTCCTTTTGTTCTTTTATGTCTTCTTCTAGTTGATCTTTTTTTCCAATTTCTATAATCTCCTTTTGTTCATGTGGAACAGAATCAGTTTTTAATTTTGATTCATCTGTTACGTCTCCTGTATCTTCAATTTGCTTAGTGGCATCTAAAACTATGCCTTCGATCTGTGTTTGCTGCTTGATTACATCCTCTATTTCCTCTTTTATATCAATTACACCTTTCTCAAGGTCACCTTTAGTTTCTTCGAAGCTTTCAGCTACCTTATCTTTGTTTTCGTCTTGATCTTTTACCAATTTGTCTACTATTTCTTCCTTACGATCATCCAATTTTGTATGAGCTATTTCCTTGTGATCTTCCAGCTTATCTTTTAAATCTTTTATGTGGGCTGTTCCATCTTTAACATGTTCTTGAGTTGCTAGAACTTCTTGGATTTCTTCCTTTTTATCAATAATATCTTCAACTATTTCATCTTTTTTCTGACTGACATCTTCTAATTTTTCTTTTATTTTAGTTTGATCTATATCTGCAGCAAGTTTGTCCTGTATTAAATGATCACCAACATCATCTTTATCCTTATCTAGATCTTCTTTTGTACCTGTAACATCTTCTTTGCCACTCTTGACGATTTCAAGAAGTTCTTCTTTCTTTTCGCTAATAGCATCTTCTATACTTTTGCTTACGTCGACTTTTATATCTGAAAGTTCATCTACTGGTTTAATTAAAGATTCTTCTGTATCTTTTAGATCTTTCTGCGTTTCTTCTTTGTCTTCTTCTAAACCTTTTTCGATTTCAGAGACGGTTTTTGACACCTCTTCTTTAATATCTTTACTAGAATCTTGAATGGTCTTAATATCTTGCAGTACTTTATCTTTCTCTTGATCCAAAGCACCTGTTAGCTCTTCTTTACTTGGTTCAACAGCACTTTTAATTTCCTTTGCAGCTTCTATATCTTCGTGTTTGGTTAGGGATTCTTTTGCATCTTCCTGTTTACCTTCAAGTTGCTCTAAAAGTTTGTCTTCGCTTTCGGTAAGATGTTCCTCTAAAACTTTAATTTTTTCTTCTTCCTCTATAACTTCATTACTCTTTTTTAATGTGGGCTCTTCGATATCATTTAGTGTATCGATGGTAGCTACTATTTCTTCTTTCTTATCATCAATAACACCCTTAGTATGTTTAGCGGCTTCCAATAGTACATCAGTTTCTTTTATTATTGACTCTTCTACATCTTTACTTACTTCTTGTGTAGTTGCTTGTATGCCTTCTTTTTTATCTTCTAAGTCTTGGACTATCTGATCTTGTGATTCCATAATTGCATCTTCAAGTTGGCTTGTTTCATGATGTACTTCGGAAATTTTATCTTCAAAAATTTTAGTTACTTCATCTTTGGCTTTCTTAACTAACTCGTCTTCGTCTTGTTTGTCTTTAAGACCATCAATAACTTCAATGGCACTTATTTTTATGTCTTGTTTTTTCTCAACTATTTCCTCCTTTAATTCTTTGGCTGTATCTAATATATGATCACTATCTTGGACTACGGTATGTTCAATATCTTTTGTTAGTTTTTCTGTTTTGTCTTCCAGGTGGTCGAGAATACCATCTTTAGTTTTAATGACGTTTTCATCTACGCCACTTTCTAAATCTTGTCCTTTACCTGAGATGGAATCTCTCTTCTTTTCTAAATCATTTTCCAAAGTATCCTTATGTTTATCTATATCACAACTAACCTCTTTTACCGATTTCTCCACATCTTCTAACTTATGATCTAAATCTTCTAGAAGATCATGTTTCTTGTCATCTAATTCTGTTTTTGTGGTAGCTGCTGTCAGTTCTGCTAATGGTTCTGTGTCCACTTTTAGGTCAGTTTTTTGTGATAAATCGTCAATTTGTGTTGTTAATTTTTCATTGACATCTTTCGTATCAGGTATGGCAGTGATAGAATATGAGGTTTCTTCAAAAACTTTCTCGATTTTTTCCCCAATTTCCACAACTGAACTCTTTCTTTCAACCTTTTCCTCATTTATTTGTGGTTTTATGGTTGCATCTTCATCTTTTGTGGAGTGAATTAATTCTTCTACTGTTGTTAGAGTGTCTTCTATTTTCTGCCCGAGTTTATCTAAAATTCCAAGATCTGAATCTTTTTTAACATCTTCAACAGCAGAACCTTCTTTAGATTTATCAAAGTCAGAAAGATCAGGCGTAGATTTTCCAGAAGCTATACTTTTAATGGAAGCATCCTTATCGGGACTAGACTTGCCAGATAGTGGAAGATCTTCTGTTTTTTCCACTACAGATGTACCGCCCTCTTTTGGTTGTTGATCGGGAACAGTTGTTTTCTCATGACCTTCTTCATTGGCATCATCAATTCCTGCAATAAAAAAAAACATTTTTGTGTTACTGGAAAGCAAAGACAAATATTAATGAAAATGGGCACATGGAAGTAAAACACAAAATTAACATCGTTATATCAGACATAAGGGGATAAAGGGGTAGAACGGGTACAACATGGAGTTGAGTCCAGTTTACTCCATTTAGCTTCTTCTACTCAAATCCGATTGTCACCTTCATGCTGCCCTATAAACCGAGCAACTCAACTGGAGATCCGGTATCCAATCTGGGTGGAAAGTTAGGTCGGGAACTGACGAGAACGCGTAAAATGGTCCTCCGAAAAGAGGGTTTGGCGTTGACCAAATAGATCATATAATCATCGATGCAAGACACTGCTCTAACTTATTAGATGTTAGGTCTTTTACAGGAGCAAACATAGATAGTGATTACTGTTTAGTTAAAGCACGATTTAAAGAGAGAATATCCAATTTAAAAAAGAAGATCGGGAAAAGGAAAAAAAGTTAACATTAATACACTAAGAGATCCCGTCCCAAGATTGCAAATATAAACAGATAGCAAATAGAAGATCAAATAAGGACAAAAAACAGGGACAAATAAGGAAAAAAAGACATAAACTAATCAATCAGAAAAAATAAATCATTGGTTTGTAAAAGAGAAAAGAGAAAATTAAAGGACTTAAATGTCTAAATAAAAAATATTTTTTACCTGAATCCTTTTCAGAATGAAGTTCGCCTACTTGTCTGACCGTGCTTAAGGTGTCAGATATAGTGTCAACGATTGAAGATTTCTGAGATACTTTATGTGAAGGATCTGGTGAACTTCTTCCAGAGCTTTCGGAACTTCTAGAGAATGTGATGGTACCAGGTGGACAAATTTCAATTTCTTCTCCGCCATCTTCACTCGACGCTGTAACCAACATTCTATGTACTGTACCTACATCTTCATCTGGCTTTTCGTCATCTTCGGCTTCTTTGCTCTCATCCTTTCCTTCTTCCTTAGATTCGATGACTTCAGTTTTTTCTTCATCAAGTTTTTCTTCAGATTTTCCGGATTTAATATCCGATAACATTTTGGATGTAGCCATCATAAGTTCTTGGGATTCCTTAAGTAAATTTTTTTTCTTGTCCTCAACTTTTGGGGAAGTACTTTCAGGAGTGCTATCATGTATTGGAGCAATTTTTCTTTCCTCGTTCAAAAAGGAAGCAATAATGGTATGTGGTTCCTCAGGAATGGTGGGAATATCGGTATTAATAACTTTCATTTCGATGGTTGGAGAGTCAACAGTAGTTATATGTGTTTCTCGGAGTTCTTGAGTATACGGAGTCGAATAAGTGCTGTATGTAGTTATAGGAATTTTTTTCTCGAATTCTTCTAGTGGGGCATCTGATTTAAGAACTTCTGCGACACCCGCAACTATCTTCATAACATCCCCTTCCCGTTCTTTTGGTGATTTTCTCCCAAGTTCTAATTTGTCGACTCCTGCAAGAATTTCCACTTTCTCGATATCTTCTAGGGTAGTATCTTCTGCAGCTTTTTCTGTAACTATTTCTGGTTCAACTAAGGCTTCCTTTAAACTCTTTAATTTATCATCAATTTTTTTCAACTGGTCTGTGCTTTCTTTTGTTTCTTTAACAAGTTGTTCTGTAGTTTTAACTAGTTCTTGTTGTACTTCTTCCACTGACGGTATAGATTCGGGAGCTTTCACCTCAGTCTCATCTTTGTCTTTTTCGTCGTCATCCTGCTTTTTAGGTTGCTCTTCTGGAACAATTTCTTGAACTACTTCATCTTGCTTTTCTTCTTTTACTTCGTCTGGTTTTTCTTCTTCTGGCATTTCAGCATATTGTAAGGATCGTTTACGTCTTGTTGTTGTTTCTTCAACCTCTTTAGTTTCGTCTTTGTCAATTTCTTCCAAGGTTACAGCCTCATCTTTATTCTTTTCTTGTTCTACTGCTGTGTCTTTGTTTTCTTCAATTTCTTTGGATTCTTCTAACTCTTGACTTAATTTTTTCTCAGATTCTTTTAATATGTCTTTCTCTAATATTGATTCGCTTTTTAGTACAATATCTGTTAAGGTTTTTAGTTCGTCTTGCATAGCTTTCTTGCTATCTTCTTCGAGAATAACAACCTCATCCTTATCTTTTTCTGTTTCTTCCTCCTTAGCTTGTTCCTTGCTAAAGCCTGCATCTATTTCTTTTGTTGGCTCGTCTTTCTTTTCAATAATATCGTTTGATTTTGGAGTTTCAGCTTTTAATTCATGAGTATACTCATAGTCGACTTCTTCATGTACAGGCAAGTCTGCCACTTCATCTGGAGTTTTAACAATGTCTCGTATGTGTTGTTGCTTATCTAATCTGATACCAACAACACTTGGTAATTTGGAAACCGGATCAAATGTTTTTGGTGGAACCTGTATCGTAGGACTTCCTTTTCCTTGGTTTCTTCCTTGACGTATTTTTCTTCGATAGGTCCGATGTCTTCTTTAATTTCGTCCAGAGGAATTCTTTCGTCTTCTGGTAGAGTTGGAGCAGTTGTGGTATCTCCGGACTTTACAGTAGCAGAAACTTTTTCATCTGGTTGCGATTCTCCTACATCTTTAACTTCTTCATCGGGTTCTTTATCTGTAATTTTTTTATCGATAGAAACGTCTACTTTTTCTTCAGGACTAGTAACTTTACTTGTTTGAAGTGGTTCATCTTTAGCTTTGGTTGGTTCTTCTTGTTCAGCCTGAGCAGCAGCTAGTTGTTTTTGAATTTCTTGTTTCTCTAATTCTTGTTCTTCTTTGCTCGATTTTCTCTGTTTTTCAGACTCTTCGCTATCTCGAGCAAGTTTTAGATTTTCATCTTTAGTCTCTTTTTCTTCTAAAGACAGCTGCTCGATTTCTTCTTTTTCAATAATGAGGTATTCTTCTGTATCTAGTTTTTCATCTATTGATACTTCTTTTACTTTTCTAAGAGCTTCATCGTCATCTTTACGAACCTCTCCCTTTCTAAAAACTGCTTCGATTTCTTTCACAGCTTCTTGTTCTTCTTTTAGTTCGGCTAATTCTTGTGCCTTCATTTGTTGGAATTCATCGGGTGTCAGTTTTGATATGTCTTTTTTAAGTACACTTTCTTGATCTGCCGAAGGAGTACTAACGGTGCTGGAGTCGGTAGTACCTTCTTTGTCTAGTTTTCCCTTTCTGGAGATAGAGTCAGGTTTTTGTACTCCATTTACTATTTTCTTCGCAGGACTAATTGGTGCTTTCTTAGCAGGAGGTCTTCTAGAAATTGGTTTTCTTTCTACTTTCTCAGCTTTTTCTACTTTAGGCTTTGGTTCGGTTGTTACTGGAGGTTTAGCTACTTCCTTTTTAACTTTACTTTCTAGAACTTTTCTATTATTAGCATCTTTGGCACTCTTGGCTGGGGTTGTAAGAGGAGATTGTTTGGTTACTTTTCTAACATCACCATTTTCTACAGGTTTTTTGGCCATTGTAGGCGATTTCTTATCTGTCGGTTTCCTTCTTTGTTGAGATTCACCTCTTGGTTTTTGAGCTTTTGGTTTGGTTTTTGGTTTGTCTCCGTTTTCTATTATTTTCTGCTCGTCGTGTTTTTTAGTCTTGGTACTTTTGTCGCTTTCGGTTGAGTCTGACTTTTTGACGATTTTTTCCTTTTCCTTAATATCACCATTTACAGCAGGTAGCTCGTTTTCTATCAGTTTGTTTTCTTTCTTTTCTACGGTAGGTTTTTCTTTGGTAATAATTCTGTCGAATATGGCTTCTTTGGCAGTCTTTTTGGTAGTTAAAATGGGTACGAGAGATTTTTCGCTACATACTGGATGTTTGATAAAGTCTAAATTTTTAAGTCTATCTAAACCTTCGAGTATTTTATTTTGCGGACAGCTTCCAGGATAAAGTATCCTAGTAATTGTATCAGTGGGATTTGCAGGACGCCAGACTAACAAGGCTGATATCGATATTAAATTCTGAATTGGGAAATTAAAGTCTCGACTAGATTTTGCGTTGGCAAATAGTTTTTGGTCGCTGTGGTTCCACTTTAATAAGAATTCTCTAACTTCTTTAGAGTCTTTGGCCGGACTAAGTACGTACATATCTAGAGTACCATGTCCTACTTTATGGTACAAATTAATAGGCTCGGAATCTCTGTAGCAAACCTGAGGATTTAGATTTAAATGGCGCAGATTCGATATGATTTCTTGACCTTCTTCCAGTAAGTTGATCAACAGTGGATCCTTGTCTTTATCACCGTCTGGACTCAGAATAGCTTTTCTCTCCTAAAACAAAACATTAAAAAATTAACATCAAGCTTTTCAAAGCATTTCAAAAAAAGTAATTAATTGAAGAATAGAAGATATTGCACGTTTTACCTGAATATTACAAAAAAAGTGTCCTATCTGTGGATAGAGAGCATCTTGCTTTTTCCTCCTTAGCACTGAACTAATTCCTCCTACATTACTATTATTCAGTCTTGTCATTAGCACAGCATCTAATCTATCTAAGTGTCTTACGAAGTCCCAAAAGCAGGCCTTTCTGGAATAACCACCGTCCAATAGCATGTTAAAGCCATTGATTCCAAATAGTGCAGCATCACCTGAAAACCCAAAAAATATTGTAATCTTTGGTTAAGTGTCAAATATTCTATACATTTTTACAAAAATTGAGCTACATTACAAAAAATAAATATAAAAAAGACCAAATACTTGATAATAACAAAGGAAACAAATATACGAACAAACATACATTTGAGAAATGTACCGATAGAAAGGATTGATAAATACAAATACCTAGGAACCTGGATTTCAGACAATAATAATCAAACAACCGAAATAAGAGCCAGGGTAGAAATAGTAAAAAATGAGTTTGTAAAAATGAAAACAATTCTCTGTAACAAAGACCTTAGATTAGAACTGAGAGTAAGAGCACTGAGATGCTACCTGTTTTCGATACTGCAATATGGACTTGAAAGCTGGACATTGAAGCAAGAACACATAAATAAGTTACAGCCCTTTGAAATGTGGTGTTATATGAGGATGCTTAGAATAGCATGGACTTAGAAGAAAACTAACACGGAAGTATTGCGAGAAATGGGCAAAGAATGCGAAATAATAAACACAATAAAAATTTAAGGGAGATGGTACTTAAAGAAGAAGAAATATTTACTCATAAATTGGCTAGCCTGGAGCTAAAGTGGTCTATGTCGCATATGTATGAAAATTGAGATTTTGTTATATTTGACTTTAAAAGCTAGTAATCTATCAGTACTAAAGTGGTCTATGTCTAAATCTCAGTCAGAGTCCGTAAAATAACAATGTACCACTTTTACTTTTGGGGAAATTGAAATTTGTTAAAATTCGTAAGGGGTCTATGTAACACTATGCATCATAGACCTATTGATTTCTACCAATGTAAAAATTCTAAATTCTAAAGTGGTCTATGAAGCACATTAATCAACAATTATTAATAGAGCGGCAACACTGTGGCGCTAATGTCATTGGTACTAACCTCAAACCGGGAGGTTGCAGTTATTTAGTTAGTAGATCGGTTGTGTTAATGTGAAAAATGACTACGAATATTTCAATAAGGTCTCGTACACGCAGACTAGTGGAAGCTGCGAGACAATTTCATGACGAAACTGATTCAGAACCTTATCCCGGTTCAAGTGAAGATGAGTACATACCTTCAAATAATGATGGCAGCGATTCTGATGCAAGAGATAGTAACACAAATACAAGTAAGTGCATGTTTAAATAAAATATTATAGTTTAGTAACCAATGAGGGAAGCAATTGATTTTAAAAAGAAAGTGATTGTAGTAACTAGTAGGAAAATCCACGTGCTGATGTTTTTACATTAATCTGTTGATGCGCACTGTTGCCATATTTTTTATTTTTCAAAGAAATTAATATATTAAAACAAAATAAGCTACATTTTTGTTAAATTTGTCTGCCCCTAATGGGTATTTTAAGAGTTATTTTAAAACCATTATAACAGCTTAATTAAAACAAAGCTTTAACGCATCGCAACGTTACATAATGTTATTGTTTTAAGTAAACATACTGAACTACCTCCTCTTGTTACAGATTCCGATGTTGAACATGAACCTGTGTTGTTGAATCAAAACATGGAAAATCTTGGGGAAATTCAAGAACCGGACGAAACTGAAGTAAGAAAGGGAAGAAAGAAAATGAAACAAGAGGCTTTATGGGGGAAATACGTCAGAAAGAGATGTAGAGCTTCAGGAGAGAAATACACTAGTATAAAAGGGAAAGTTATGGCCGCTAAAACGTTTTTTTACATTGAATGTAATTGTCGTCTAAAATGCAGTAATAGAGTGCCAGAGAATGTCCAGAGAGAGGTACATGACAGATTTTACAAACTACAGGATTGGAACGCTCAAACTAGCTGGTTGTGTGGTACAGTTAGAACTAAAGCACCTAAACGTCCCCGAAAAAAAATACACCCAGAATCTGTGAGTCGTAAACAATATTCACGGATATTTCAACTAAATGGTCAGAACGTGTGTAAAATTTTTTTTTTAAAGTATTACAAATAAGTAATCATCGATTAGATTATGCACTAAGAGTAAAAAAAGCCGAAAATAGTGATATCCCTTCCCCCGATCGAAGAGGAAGAAAAGTTCCTGGAAATAAAATAAACGAGGAGAAATTGAAGTGGATTCGTGATCACATTAATAGTTTTCCTAAATTTAAGAGCCACTATGGAGAAAGAACCTCAAAGCGCCAATATTTTGCACCCTCTTTAAATATTTCCAAAATGTACGAACTGTTTAAATGTAAATTAATTATTGAAGGAAAACCAGTTCTTAAAAAAAGTATCTATGAAAAAATCTTTAGAACCGAATTTAATATTCATTTCTATATACCTAAAAAAGATACTTGCAAATTTTGCGATGCATTTCAAATAAGTTTAAATGCCGAAAGTAATAAAGAAAAATCAGAACAAGTAAAAATAGAAAGGGACCAGCATATTGCTCTGGCTCAAAAAGCTAGGAAACTTCTGAAAGATTACAAAAACGAGTGTGTGAAGCCGGACAGTACAGGTGTATTAATTACATTTGATTTGGAAAGAACACTTCCCTTACCTCACATAAATACCGGTGAGGTGTATTACTTAAGGCAGATGCATATGTTAAACTTAGGAATTCATACTTATGAAAGTGGTGGAGAAAACGTTTTTATGAACATGTGGTATGAGACCAAAGGGGCTAGAGGTTCTCAAGAAGTGATAAGTTGTTTATATCACTATTTTAAAAATGACATTCCTCCTCATGCTACAAAACTTGTTCTCTTTAGTGACTGTTGTGGGGGACAAAATCGGAACTGGAATTTGTTACATTTTCTTATGTACATGGTTAACGTTTTACCGAACATTCAAGATATCTATGTAAATTATCTGGTTACCGGTCACACATATTTACCAAACGATGGCGATTTTTCATTTATTAGTAGGGCACAGAATTTAACCCCAGTGTACACTCCTGAAGCATGGATGGAATTAATTTCAAATTGTCGAAAGCGCCACCCATTTCGTGTAAAAAACATGGTGGATAAGTTTGTGTCATTCGACAAGTTGAAGATTTTTAAGTCACCTCATGCCCTGCGGAGTTCTGGCGTCATGATTTCTCAAATACGCAGAATTAAGTTCTCCAAAGATACATCGGTAATGTTTTTCAATGATGATTACTCGGATACTTATAATGCTATAGATCTAAATAAAATGAATTCTTTTCAAGAATTTGCACAGGTATTAAAAAACTTTTCCCCGGAGGTTGCCGCAGATATTAGACCCTTATCTTTTAATAAAATGAAAGATATAAAAAAAATGCTACAATTTGTACCTCCTGTGCATCATCCATTTTATCTTTCTTTACCCCATTACAATCGCAGAGGTGATAGGGAGGATAATGAAGACATACTACCACCATTTCGAGGTGAAGACTTGGATGAATAAGTTTACTTAACTATTTTTAATAATTCTAAAATGGTCTATGTTACATTTTTAAATAAAAAAAATTAACAAAATGAAGTTCAGTTATCAGTAAGGATTTTTTTATGTTTGTAAGATTTTTGGTAACCGTAATTAAACTTTTGTACAAAAATTTTGGTTTTAGTTCCTGTACCAACCGATTTATACATTAAAATGGATTTTTTTAATTTTCTCGAAAAAGTGGTTTTGTTACTTAGACCACTTTAGTTCCAGGCTAGCCAATTGTGTTTATATATGGGCACAAAATATGCAGTGATGTGTCTGTTTTGGCCTCCTTGTAATGTTCTGTCCTCAGTTCTTGTCATTACAAAATTTAAAAGGAGGTTCATATCTTAGACTAAATCAACAGTTTCCTTATTCTCAATTCATAAAAGTAGCGTTTTAGTTAGGAAGCAGTTCGTTAATAGAGTTAGAGTGTTTTTTGATGATGAATAATTATTTTGAATAATGATAATGAGAATTTCTTACGCCACATCCTTTGAAATTGTAGATTTCTTAAATGCCTTAAGAAATTCATTTTATACGAATATTTTATAGTAGACACCGTTAATTTTAATCAATATTCGCACTGTCTAAACTTTCGTAATTAACGTACCTTGTCCACCAGGAAAAACATACAAAGTAGGCCTGGAAAACCTAATATTTCCCACCACATCCGAGCTTTCTAGCAAGTTTTCTAAAGCAGTTGGAACCAAAAACGGTGAGAGGTACTCCACGAAAGCAGAAATGGCCGGAGAACCAGATGTTAGAACGTCTGTTGGATTGATGTGCACCTTGCATGCTTTGGAGTGAGGTTCTTTTGGCAATCGGGGCCAGTCCCCTTCTGGAGCGCAGTGAATATCCATGCTGATGCCGTTCTCATAGGCCCGCACGACTCTTTGAACTTCCAATTCTTGGAAGGCTTCGGAGAAGTCTACGTAGGAAAATGTGCCATCCTATAATACATAATAAAATTATTTTTACTAAATGTATAAACAATAATATTTTGTCGCTTACCTGGAGAGCCCAAGAACCATTGGCCGCGAAGGTGTATCCGGCGTGGATAATGTGACGGTGTCGAGTAAAACTGCTGAGCAGATTGCGCATGCATTGCGCTAGTGTGCTGACTGCTGGATGAATTAAAATTTCGGTGACCAGGTTCTCGGAAGCGAACTGAATCAGGCGTTCCCCTTTAACAAAACAAAATAATATCAGTACTGGATTGGGCGGTTATTTATTAGAAGTTTATTTTATATAAGAATAAAATACTAAAAACTTTTATATTTTTACATGTTCAAGAAATTTATTACAATTTATTTTCACTACAGCTGTTTCGGCACAGTGACTATAACTGACTAAGTTAAACAGGGGGGAGCTATTTGTCCCAATTTGGTCATTCAGAATTAAATCTATATTTTTTAATTTATCAATTTCCATAGATTCTAGTAAAGATAGCTTAAGGCGTTTATTTTGAATATGGAGAAATTAAAATTGGTCGTTAAAAGAATAATTATGATCTAGATGGTGAACTGCGTAAGTAGAATCTGTTTTTCTATTATTTAAAACCCTTTTGTGTTCTGCTACACATTTGTTAAATATTCTACCAGCTTGACCAATGTAAGTTTTTATGCAGTCGCCACATGTGTTTGTAAATGTTATTTGTTATTACCCTTGTAGTGGCCGTTGGCTATCAAGATTCTTATTATTAAAAGTATTCAATAAATAGTGAACTATTGTTTGTTTTACTGCTTTAAATCCAGTAATTACTTCAGTAAATAACTCGATAAGTTTAAAAATCTTGCATCGAACGATAAAGAATGATCAGAGTAGATTTAATACAAGTTCAACTGATGGACGATAATGAGAAAAGAGAAAACGATGTCCAGCTTCAGCGCTTTCTATGCACCATGTGACTTTATGTAGTAAGGTATATACAGTACACAAATTGCAGTGATATTTCCAAAATTCTTAGAGAAAATGGCACATAAAAAAGAAAAAATAATAATCGCTTGGGCGGGCGTGCATGATTTGGACGCTAAATTTAAAATTCGACACTGAGAAATAAAATTACCTGTTTCTGCATACATGATTTGGACGCTGGGTGTAATTAAAATGTAAATGGAAAGTCAGGTAATAAAATTCTAGAGATTAAGCTTGATAAGGTTTATTTGTCACTTTGAAATAAATACGACATACATTTTACGAAATGGAATCGATCGATACAGTTAGTTTGATACTCATGTATCCTATTTCTAACGAACATAATTTTTTTTCTATCTACTCTTTGGATCTTTAAGTCTATTACTTTCAGTATTACAGACACTATTAATTTTAATGTAAGTTTCAGTTTGAAAATTTTTTTAAACATCAATAAAATGGAAATGCGCAGCATTGTGGATAGCAATTTCAAAATCGGAGAAAATGATTTTTGGATTGAATTTTAGACCAATTACTTCACATTTGCGTTTCAAAACATTAAATAGTTTTATATAGGTTTGTTCCGATTTATCGGGAAGTAAACAATAACACAATGGTATATAATGTCCATTGATAAATACATGTATGGTAAAAAATTGCTTGAAATATTGAGCACAGTAACTAAATGTACCGTCCATATAAATCGTTTCACTACTGCACAGAAAACGCATGTTAGTGTTACACGAGAAGATGATAATGTTAGAACTTAGTTCAACCGCAAATATAAAATTCTCGTCTTTAATTGTTTTGATATTCATAATATTTACCGCAGCAATAGTTTACTTCTTTACTTTTGGGCAGTTTCGGTTGAGCCATTCGCCGTTCACTGTATATTTGATTTCGTATTAAATTAACGTCTTTAACAGACATGTGGCTCAAGCAATCTACATTTTCTTTCAATGCACTATGTATGATTTTAGACGGCCTTTCGGTCAAATTATCCTTAGCCTTCCTTTTGGCACTGCTACGCACAATCTGTCTATTAAGCGTCTTGATATCATACTCGTGATTATGTTCTACATTACTTCGGATCACTAACTTTTCTGGCCCTTTCGTGAATATCTTCGCTTTACACGACCGTTTTACGCACCTCCAATACGTTTCTCCCGATTTTAGTACTTTATCTTGAGAAAAAGTAAAACTGTTGACTTTGAGCAAAATTTTAGCACGATTACTTACTAACGTTGAAATTTAGATGTTCACTTTTCACTATTCTCTGACAAACTAATAACTAGTAACTAAGTAAATTTCAATGACCATCATTAAACCCTAATTATATCTAATATCTGGTACCTGAGATAATCCTTCCGGCAGCGTCCAAAACAAGGGTACTTTTAAGACCATCAGGTATTTCAGCGTCGAAAACATGCCCGCCCGCTTGGGCTGGTATTTCATTACTCGGAAAAACTGAGCTTTTTAGAGTGCATCTCAATATAATTTACAGAGGAACAACAATTTAGTTGCCTTATATTTGTGAATTGTTTTTAACTAACTTTTAGATTCTGAATCCACATATAATCGCATATTTTGTCAAAATTCATACAAATTTTTGCAACATTCATGCAACACATTTCTGAGTAGCCGGCTTTGAATATAAACCGATGTAAATATTGATGGATTTTTATAGCTTATAATCAATTTAGTTAAATTAACTCTTACATTTTTTAATAGAACGACAAAAATACAAAAAAATCTGTATAATAACAGTGTTTTCATTCTTTCTTAAGAGAAAATAACTTATTTCAAATTACCAGTATTCAAACTTCGGCGTCAGAATGAAATTTAGTGATTACTCAGAACAGAAGACCCAATTCTCTCTTAATAGACAACCCTTACGTAGCTACCACTAAACTAATTATTTTCGAATATCTTTGCAACCCCATCAATGGTTTCCGAACGGCGTCCGTTTCACCACCGACGCTGTTGACCCCCCGCTAGACGACGCCGTCGATGCTACTTGTACTCGGCGTCGTGTCAAAAGATAAGATTGGGATTCGAGACACCCCTTTACAAAGCGCAAATTGCTGACAATGCCCATTGAAAAGCTTTCGATTCTACTTACATTGCTTATTTTGCTATAAAGTAGAGAGCAGACACTAAAGGGTAACTGCCAGAAGGAGAATAAAGGGTTTAACAAGTGCCAGTGGTTGGAATTGGCATTTTAGAGGTTTCTCTGAAAAAAAAAATAGCTATGTTCTAGATACAATTATGGAGTCAAATAAGTAAAGAATCCTAGAAACACAATTACAAAAAAGTTGCACGAAAGTGACCACATATAATGCAGAAATAGTCTTATTTATGGATTAAAAGTGGAAATTAATTACTATTTAACTGGGAATAAGCCACAATTAAAGGTAAAAATACGTTTATTGACGTTTCAATTTCCACTTCGGAAATCGTTCTCAAAATACAAACCTTTGACAGTATTAAATTTTCCGTTGCATTTAAATGTCTATTTGATAGATTGACAACTGTCGCTAATATGTCAACATTTCTATTGAGGTTAATTGAAACGTTAATAAACGTATTTTTACCTTTAATTGTGGCTTATTCCCAGTTAAATAGTAATTAATTTAAAATGCCACAAGAAAATAGCTTCAGAATAATATGAAAGTGGAAAGTGGAAAAAATTAGAGAGGTATTATCCATATCTACAATCTATACATGGAGCCCTGAGGTAGATTTCTATTCAGTTCTACCTAGTTTCTATCATACCGTAACGTATTTCATATATTTGCTTATACTCGTATGCAATGAAAACACTTTTATTTCTAATTACTACGGTTTAAATATTTATTTACTGTAGATTTTATTGGACAACCACTAGTTTTCCAAAAATAATTTTTGGAAAACCACGTTGTAACCGTTTCAAAAGTTTTAAATTATTTTTGAATGTTTCAAAAATTGATTAGTAATAATTTCTAGTAAATATTCAAATTAATGTTGCTCACGCCATCTATCCGCTGAGTGAGGAAGCATCTAAATCCCCTCAAGGACCCAACTGCATTTTATAATAGTGCCGAATTTGGACTCAAAATCCGAGTGTTCATAACCTTCCGGCAATTCATCTTCAGTGAATCTTCATAACACTGACATGTTATTAAGTATTATTAACCTTAGGCGAATGTTTAGGATGTTCTAGTGCAGCTGTGACACGTTATGCAGAAAAGTTTCCTAGAAGAAACTTACCGAAGTAAAAAAACATTTAGAGTCGTTGAACGACGTTGTCGAGAAACTGGGAATGTGAGACCAAATAAAATAAATTCTGGTAGACCAAAAACAACAAGAACAATTAATAAAGAAAATATTATTTTAAATTTACTTGATCAAGATCCAACAGTTAGCGTAAGGAATATAGCAAGACAAACAAATACTTCTTCTTCAAGTACTTGGCAGTATATATAGTATTTAATATTGTAGCAAACAGTATTTATTATAATATCGTGACTGAATGGATCAACAATCCAAAGCCATTAAAAAAAAGTACTTGGCGGATACTGAAAGAACGGCAATTACATCCTTATCATTACAGACAAGTCCAAGAGCTCTTGCCAGATGATCTACCGGTTAGAGTGGATTTTTGTGAAACATTGCAACAAAGGACAGCTCACAATCCAAATTTTTTAAAATGCATTCTTTTTACGGACGAGGCCACCTTTACGCGACAAGGTATGTTTAACTCCCATAATGCACACTACTGGTGTAATGAGAATCCACGAGTCAAAAGTACCACATTACCAACACTCATTTAAAGTTAATGTTTGGGCAGCAACTTTAGGTAACAAATTAATAGGTTATCATATTCTACCTGGAAATTTAAATGGTGATATGTATCTTGATTTTTTAAACAATTCCTTATTCGAGATATTAGAAGATTTAACGCTAAATGAGCGAAGATCTTTATTTTTTATGCACGATGGAGCTCCACCACACTTTTATAGAAGGTGTCGTAATTGGTTGAGTAATCATTTTCCGAATCGATGGATTGGTAGAGGTGCAGAAGCTCCGATTCATTGGCCTCCTCGGTCATGCGATTTTAACCCTTTGGACTACGCAGTTTGGTCGTATCTTAAGGAAAAAGTCCATGCTACAGAGGTAAATTCACGCCAAGAATTGGAAGAAAGAATTCAACGTCATTTTAATGACATTATAGCTGATCCCCTACCGTTTATAAGGTTAATGGAATCTTTAGACAAAAATCTTCTTCTTCTTA